AAAAAAAAAAAAATAGCCAAAAAGGACTTAAACAGAAAATACATTACAACATTTTAACGCATTATAAACGTACGCAAAAACTCCTCGTTAAAAATTATATCTTCGCAAACTGCCCAGAAAGCGATTTAATTAATTATTTATTTACTTAATTATTTAATTAATTGTTTACTTAATTGTTTACTTAATTGTTTACTTAATTAATTATTCCGTTTTAACCCATCCTCTTAACAAACGGCCGCTTTTTATTTTTTCTTACCTCTTTTTTACCAAAATGGAAAAGTCCAAGTTAGCCAAAGTTGAAAAAGTTTTAGGAAGGACTGGAAGCAGAGGAGGAGTCATACAAGTCAGGGCCCAATTTATGGGCGATACAGAATTGTCAGGCAGATTTTTAATCAGGAATGTTAAGGGCCCAGTGAGAGAAGGAGATATTTTAGCCTTACTCGAAACGGAAAGAGAAGCAAGAAGATTGCGCTAAGTTCGACGCTGGGGAAGAGAGAGGCAAAAGGGTGTTTTTATGTGTGTGGTCAGAAAAGAAATCCCGACCATGGAAGGCAGAAGCACGAATATCAGTATGATCTAGGTGAGGAGCGAACAGAATATGTTTATATTTATGGCTTGAACTGAAGCATGCCCACCATCCACGTCGCTACCATCGCTGCGTTGTGAAGAAGAGGGAAAGAGCATGTACCCCGTCCCAATTGTAGAAGCGATACGAGATGAACCCACACTTACATATACATATATATGCACAACATGAGCTTAAGTCCAATCATTAATTTATGTACCTTTGTGTGCATCCTTCTCTCTCTTTTTTTTTCTTATCATATGTTTACGTGAATGAATCATATCCTTTTTGTTCACCTTGAGCATTTTAAACAGCGGCATGGGGGTGTAGACCCGCACGCGCACGGATGTAAATCTGCACATATATCTGCACGTACATGTATATATGCCTGCGCCATTTTTTTTTTTTTTTTTTCCTAAACCGCATCACCTGATCAATGGAACCACGAGAAAAAAAGACTTTTCAAACCGACAGAAATAAAAAAAAAATGAGCTTTATACATATACGTATGTATCCCCTCACAGGGCACTGCACCACGCTGCCCCGCATCCGCCCCTTTAAAGTACCAATTAGTGACAAGCAGTTTCATTGGGTTGAAATGAGCACAAGGGGCACGGCGAAAAAATAATAAAAGTTCGGCTGTTTGGGTTCAGGGAAAAAAACAGACGTGTGTAGACCCACAAATGTACAAACTGTGGCGACAAGCACAAATATGAGAAAAACGGTCCTGGGCACGAGTGCAGACTGAGGAATGTACACCTCTTCTGCCGCACATAAGGAACAACTCCAGCGTCGCTCAACTCGTTGGCTGCGTCCTTTTTAAGTTGATGCGAAATTGGGGCTTCTTCTTTTCTGTGATCTGTAAAAGGGGGAACGGGGAGAACGAGAAGCATTGTTTCGACATTTTCCCCAAATATGTGTAAGGTGGAAAAATTTCCCGTTCATATTTATTTTACCCAATCGCAATTGCGCAAGGGCTGTTAGGGGGTCATCCTCAGGAAGCCACTCGACAAAGCTGCGCCATGTAAGTGGCAACACCTACCTCATACAACTTCTTGTACGTAGTCGGGTCGGAAAAGATACTTGTGTGAATGATCGAGTCTTTTAGAAATTCCTGCACGTCTAGGTTTTCTTCAATATGTTCCACAACCTTGACAAAAAAGCCTTTGTCGTACAGAACTGCAATGTGTGCAAGGGGGATGAACAGGGAGAAATATTGCATGTGCATGTAAAAAAAAAAATAGCTAGCCAAAAAAAAAACAAAAAAAAAAAAAATAGCTATGGCTACTTTTCAGGCAAGTCGAATGATTGAACGACGCCGCCACCGCACGTACCCCTGGTTTGGTTCCCCTGAGGACTAATTTCTAAAAACTCGCCATCCATATTATTATCCCTGAATACACCACAGAGAATGCGTCCATCCTTATTGATGAGCTGACCCTTCCCGTGTTTCTTCCCTCCAGAATAATTGCCCTCATATATGGCGTAGTTCGCATCGTTGTTCCATTTGTAGTAACCCTCGCCGTGAAATAATCCTTTCTCAAAATTCCCCACGTAAATATCTCCATTTTTAAATTCATATCTTCCATTTTGACATAAATAGCCGTCTTTAATATATCCCAGGGCATGATCACCATTTGCAAAAAAAAATTCCACCTCTCCTACTTCTTCATCATTTTTAAATGAGCAAACATATTTAGTCTTTTCCGGCGTGATAATGGTTCCTTTTCCTTCTCTTTTATTATTTGCGAATTCACCTTCAAAAATAAATCCGTCTGCTGTTTTGTACACTCCATGTCCATGTCTTTTATCTTTTACCCAGTCTCCTTCGTATGTATTATTTTCCGTGTCGGTCCATTTTCCCTTTCCTTCCTTCTGACCGTCAACAAATTCTCCTTCGTATTGGTCTCCATTTGCGTATTGCAGTACGCCCCGTCCGTGCACACGATTGTCCTGCGTCATATTCAGGAGGGGAAACAAAGGGAAAGTACACGAGTATATATGCATGTACGTCTGTGCATGTATGCCTATGCGCACGCCCGTTTGGCTCTCCTTTTAAGGAGCAGCCACGTGGGATGAGGGTCTGGGTTTCTCCCTCTTCCCCGTTGCAGATCCTCACACATCATACCTTTGTAGTACCCGTGTACACTGAGCCGTCGCTCAGCGTGACAGTAACTGTGGGCAGGTCTTCGTACGGGTTCTCCTCTTCCCGGGTGTCATCCTCCGTGTCGCCAACGATTACCTTCTTAGGGCTATCTGCGTTTACTGCATTCTTACTGCAACACCTCATTTTGAAGATCGAAAAAAAATTGCCTCGATTTGTGCACGCTGGTCAAGAGGCATAATTAGCGCGTAAAAAAAAAAAAATCTACAATCGCGCTGTTATATATATATATATATATATATATATATATATATATTTTTTCTTTTGTACACATGCATGTGTGCGCTATTCCGTTGGCAATGACCTGGCGAGGCAGAACAATTCGAACGAGCCCCTCTTAAAACCCACGCAGCGTGTCCACACAAATCTGTCCTCACAAAATTTACGTCAAACGGTTTCGCAAACACAAAGGTGACAACGACGGCTAAGAAGTTGTAGTGTGCATCAAATTAGTGCTGTGCTTCGCTGCCAAAAGTGGAGAATAAAAAAAAAAAAAAAAAAAAAAAAAAAAAAAAA